GATACGCGAGATGACATGATAATTGAAACAGGAACTCAGTGCAATTAATTATATCTTTTGTCATAAACAGGGTCTACAAATTTGAGTTTTTTTGTCATAAACAGGGTACCCCTTTCAGAATCCCAGCAGAACACCCCTACCCAAATTCTGGCGGAGTACCCCCCCAGATGCATACTTCAATAAAACTTATCAGGACCCCACTAAAATTAAGAAAACATTTTGAAAGATTTTTTTCCATTTTAGAAACCATGTCCTGAAGATTCTGCAAACTTCATTTCAAGGCTTACATTTTGGTGGATGAACTGGTTTGTACATTGCATTTTAAAAATTATTTAACAAACATTCGCTGAAGGGGAATATTTACCAAGATGCAAGTCTTTGAGTCTACTATTGCAGAGTATTTTGCAACTGAATTTTATCAATATTTTTTTTGTGGGGGTAAAATCGTAGAACATGATCAGTCTGACATGAATGTCACAACTTGAATTGCTGAAGCACTAAAAGATTTAGAATTGATAACTCTTTGTAATTTTAATTATGTTAAAAAGGCATAACAGTGAGATGGCTTTCCATCCACAAAATATTTATTTTTTACTGCTGGCATTCACAAACATTTTTTTCAGGCATAGTACAGGGCTCTATAATGCAATTTTATGCAATTTTTAACGTATACATTTCCACTATCTGACTTAGGTCTACAAAACCAATTTGAAATAAAATTAGATATCGTATAGAAATATGTCATTTTTGTAATGTATATAATGTGTAATATTTACTAGGCTTATACGGACAGGGCACAAAAGACCCTTAGAGGACCAAGACTTGTGGGCATTACCAAAAGCCATGAAATCATCAAAGGTTATTCCATTATTGGAAACAAGATGGAATGAAGAACAGAAAAAATTTATTTGCCATAAGTGTGAATTTCTTGATTGCCATTGCAAGAAGTGAGTTATAGTGTTTTGGTTAAAACAATTTTCACCTTACAATTCAAGTTCACTTTATCTCACATTTTTTACAGAAGAAGATAAATAATTTATAGTTATGTGTGTAATTGTGTAGCAGCCAAAGTAGCAAGTGTTTTGGAGTTGGCTGCTATTCTACATTTAAATTTTACAGGACCCAATTTAGGTAGGAGGGGTGGAGATACATGTACCTAGTACTGACCACCTTTGGAAATAAAATCCTGGAATTTGTAAGCATTAGCTTATGGCATGAAAAAAAAACCTTTTATAACTTAAGAAGCTGCACTCAAACTTTAATTTTTTGGGGGGGTTATTTAACATCTTGCCCATATAGAATTAATACAGTGAATATCGTGAGAAGGGTGATAGGCATTTTAAACTATCACAATGTCTTATATTATGTTTAATTTACAGCTTAGTTTTTTCTTTGTAGAATTGAAGAGCATTCATGTAAAAAGGAGTTAACTAAAGAAACTGAGGAAGCTAAAGAAACAGAACAGTCAGAAGAAAAAGAAGAAGAGGAGGAGAAAGTAGAATTTGTACCCAAGGAAAAAGAGAAAGAAGAGACAACAGAAGGAAAAAAACYGAAGGGACCATCTTTGGTGAAAGTTCTTTTCCTGATGTTTTGGCAACAGTTTCTGGTAGCAGCAATATTTAAGTTAATTCAGGATTTGATTCAGTTTGTCCAACCAATTATTCTTAGGTAAGAAGTGTTTTTTTTTGGTTTTTTTTTCAGGCAGGAAGTTTATCATACTGTAGTCTTGATCATCTGTGCTACAGAAACAAAAAGTTATAACCAATTGTATACTAATGTTTCAGACCCTGAGCCCTTCAACAAATACCCTGGGTTCCAGAGGCTCTCTGGCGCTCCAGTGTTCTTCGATAATAAAACTGACATGCAAGAGGTCCTTGAGGGAGAGAGAACCTGGATCTCAGGGTACATGTATTTATCAGGGTAATAAATGTAATATATCTACCCAAATGTATATTGTATAAGCTTCCATATACCTTTTTTTCAGACTGCTGATTAAATATGTTGAAGGAAAAGATTCTGGAGGTGCTTGGAAGGGCTATGTGTATGCAATTGGGATGTTTATTGCTGCAGCAATTCAATCATTATTCTTGCAGCAATACTTTCATTTGGTCTTGACTACTGGTGTTAAGATAAAGACTGCAATCACAGGAATGGTTTATGCCAAGGTTGGTCTTTTTTGGGGGAAAACATGAATTTTTTAACTTAATCTTTTCGGTAACTATTTCTATCAGTAAATTTGGATATTTCTCTTATTTATTCTTGATTCATTTATTCATTCACTCCCTCCCATATACCCGCATTTTCTATTTATTCATTCATTCATCCATTCATTCATTAATTTATTCATTCTTTTTTACTCCTTTCATTTCTTTGGTCAGCCAATCACTTATTTAGCACTTAATTTATTAACTTATAATGACTAGTGATTACTAGTTGGGACTGCAGTAATAGGAAGTGTACTGACATTTTAGATGCTGGTCATTTGTCAGAGTGAAAGTTTATTAATAGTCCATCAATTTATCTGTCCATTTAAAGTACTTTTCCATCCATCCAACCATCCCATTAATTTATCCATCCAACCATCATCCCACCCATCCATCCATTTTTTTCATCCATCCATCCATCCAGTCTACCATTCATCCACCCATCCATTCACTCAATATTATTGACAAATTGATTAATACAAACCTTTTCAGGCTTTGAAACTAAATAATGCATCACGAGCGACATCTACTGCTGGAGACATGGTCAACTTAATGTCGGTTGATTCCCAAAGGTTACTAGACATGTGTTCTTATATCAACATACTATGGTCAGCACCAGTCCAGATTATTGTCTCTCTATACTTCCTCTATGATGTTATGGGAATTTCTACTTTGGCTGGATTTGTCATCATGGTTCTTCTAATTCCTTTTAACTTTTTTGTTGGAAAAACTGCAAGAAAGCTCCAGGTAGGATACCAGTACTCTGCAATTTTGCATTTTATGTAGCTCATGAGGTTTTTCCAGCCAAACATTTACTTAAGTGAAAGGGGATTATCTTTAGTCTTTATCAAATATTAGTTTTAAATTAATTTTGATTTTTTTTTTCAATTTTCTAGGTGAAACAAATGGGTAAAAAAGATTTGCGCATCAGAATCATGAATGAAATCCTTAATGGGATAAAGGTGCATATACATATTATATCATCTTTTTTTTTTCTGTATTTATCTTTAAACTTAAATTTTTGTTTTATTTATCTTAAAAGGTGCTGAAATTATATGCTTGGGAAGAATCGTTCCTGGCAAAAGTTTCAGGAATACGAAAAGATGAACTAAAGCATCTGAAGAATTCCATGTACCTCAATGCTGGGTTTTCCTTCACATTTACCTGCGCTCCATTTCTCGTAAGTTTCATAAATTTCAGGGCCCAGTTAAATACCATTACAATGTAAATAATGCAAGTTCGCGTTTACATTTTAGGTATCCTTAGCAACATTTGCTATCTATGTTCTCATTGGTAATGAGTTAACACCAACAAAGGCCTTTGTGGCTCTTTCAATATTCAACATTCTTCGTTTTCCACTGTCTGTTTTACCAAATGTTGTTGCAAGCTTTGTTCAGGTATGGAACCCCCAGTAATATATATGAGGCTTATGATAGATTAGTGGTCTTGTCAGTCAAGCTCACATTACAAAATGTTTTCTCCCTCTCGTTAATTTTTTAATTTCAATTTTATTTTCAGGCACTGGTTTCTGTAAAGCGTTTGACAGATTTTCTTTGTCTCGATGAATTGAACCCAAAAAATGTTCAAAAGTTTATTCCAACAGAATGTGAGTTTTCGAGATTTAACCTCTTGGGATGCATGATAGATATATGAAAATAATTTGGGAAGACTGTGGTAGTACAGGGGTAGAGTGCATGGCAATTTGAGATTCCATTAAAATATATTATTATTTTCTTAAGGAATCCTCAAAATACTTATCTTAATCTGGTTTTTCTTATCTTTTCTCTGTATCATTTTTTAAGTTATGGGTAAGATAATTGTTTGGTAATTATTTTGCAGTTTCAAGCCAGGTCATTCATGTTGAAGATGGAACGTTCTCTTGGAATTTGGGAGAAGGGCCGACTTTGAAAGAGTATGGATCGAAAAATAATGTAGTGTGATTTTAAATGTCTTACTTCACAAGTCTAGTTATTAAATCACTTACTGCTTGTCTAACATTTCATCTTCATCATTTATCACCGACTATTATCATCACTACCATCATCATTTAAGCTTAATATCATCATCATTATCGTAACTATTATCATGGCTATCATCATCGTCATCTCTCTTTATCACCATTAACTACAATCACTGTAGAATCACCACCATCAATTATCAGCATTATCAACACCATTATTTATTCTATTATTATTATGAACTGTCTTAAATATTACTATTTCAGCGTCAATCTAAACATAACGACTGGTTCACTGGTAGCAGTAGTGGGACAAGTAGGAAGTGGTAAATCTACGTTACTGTCAGCTTTACTCGGGGAAACAGAGAAAACACATGGACAGGTCTACCTTCAGGTAAGAGTCATTCTCATTGGGCACATTTTCGGTTTCTGACAGTTAAAGTTACAACAGCCTGAGTTAGGGAATGTTTACCTGATAATGAAATACTAGTTTTCCTTTGTACATTGTCATTGCAGCCATCTTGAAGGTATTTGCTAGATATCCCTTATCAGCTTCCTTTATTAATACTACCAACATTTCTATTCTTTGTTTGCATGTTACGTCATCATCACCATAATTATTGGTGGTATTTAACAGTAGGCTTTTTATCATTATATATTTTCTTAATATATTATTTTGTAAAGCGCCTTGAACTTGGTAGATATGTGCACTATATAAATTTAATTATTATCAGCTTTCGTTGTTTATACCACTAATGTACCCACCATGTCTTTGTGTCTTGAGAATGAATGCAAACAGCCAATCCAAAGTATACAGAAACATTGCAATATGTAGCTCTAATATGAAACATCATCTCACCTTACAGGGTTCAGTGGCATACGTACCCCAACAGGCGTGGATCCAGAATGCGACGCTGCGTGATAATGTCCTGTTTGGTAGAACCTTTGATCGTGATCGATATCGAAGCACCATCAAGGCATGTGCTCTGCAGACAGACCTGGATCTTCTACCCTCTGGAGATATGACTGAGATTGGTGAAAAGGTACAGGAAATGTTTTTCAATATTTAGCAATTATTAGTCCTTGAGCCCAAATGGGCTGTGAGTCTATAGCCCATGAGGTTGAAGTCCTGTTTTAGTCAAATCCAAGTAGTCGTTCAAATATGTAGATTCAAACAATGTTAATGTTTTGGTTTCCAAAGTCAGCACTTTTTGTTACTAGTAGGATATAACTTATAGCCTAGTAGTAGCTTCTTATCCAATCAGAATGCAGCATCGATGATAGACCACTAGTTGATTTGGACTAAATATTCAATAGCCTAGGCTTGCAGTTACTCACCAGCAACCACCAGGGGAAGCACACAGAATCAAGGATGGCATTGCGGAAGCTGCATGCGTCTCTCACTATACTGAGTGGTTGTGCATACTAATTTTCAGCTGTGCTTAGACTCGGCATCGCATATGAGTAGAATTTGTTGGGTCTCTCCCTTGATTACAGGGTTTTCTCCAGGTTCTCTGGTTTTCTTCCTCCGTAAAACCTCTCAGTGCTGACACTTTAAAATTACCTGGAATGCTGGACAAGAGCCACTTCTTGATTTCATTTCCATGTTTATTCCCAGGGAATCAACCTTAGTGGAGGTCAGAAACAGCGCGTCAACCTCGCAAGAGCCGTGTACTTTAATGCTGATGTCTACCTGTTGGATGATCCACTCAGTGCTGTAGATTCACATGTGGGGAAACACCTCTTTGATAAAGTAATAGGACCCAGGGGCAAACTAAGAAAAAAGGTGATAACAGCCGCGTATTACTATTATTATTGTTGTCGATGTTTTAAGTGGTGGTAGAGCCTACGTTTTATAGGTGAAGTTGCAGTGTTAATAGTGGTTGGTCATTATCATGGTAGCTGTTGTGTTCTATTTGCGGGTACTATTGTTGTTGTTGATGGTGATTGAGGTTATTCTGTCGTGATGTTCCTCTAGATCTTTTTGTAGTTACTGCTGTTGTTGCTGTTGTTAATAATTTATTTTATTTCATTTTATCTCATTTTATCTTATTATATCTCATTTTATCTCATTTTATTTTATTTTGTTTTATTTTATTTTTACAATGTTCATACAGAGATGTCTCATTTAGCAGAGCTAGTTTAAAAAGAGCCCTGTTTGTTGTTGGTGGTGGTAGTGATGGAAACTGCTTTTGTTAACTATTAAATCTGTGTTATGATATGTTTTTTTTTCACCACCAGACTCGTGTCCTAGTCACCCATTCTGTACACTTCTTACCTCAAATGGACCAGATAATTGTCCTCCAAGGTGGACGAATCTCAGAGGTACGGCTACCCTTCTCTCTCTTTTATCTTCTATATTTATCTCTCATGTACCAATCACGAAGTCAGCTATGATGTTTCATTTCAAATGACGGTTTTTAGGTCGGAACTTACGACGAGCTTCAGGACAACCAAGGAGCTTTTGCTGAGTTCTTGAAAACATATGCCAACGAGAAACAAGACGGGCCAGAGGAAGGTAAGTCGACTAATCCCATCTTCATCACAGCTAAAGATGTCTGGGTTTTTGTGGCTTCCGTCAATAGCGCAGCGCGCTGATTCTAAAAATAGCTTGAAGATTCGGACAAACATTGCATTCTGTTTAACCGCTACGAGGATTAAACGAACCGATTTTATTATTTTTACTTAAAGTTACAATAATAACCCATGTACACTAAGATCAACTGCGATAGGCTGTGAAAATTATCTGCTGAAAGTAAACTTGTAAGTTTGTTTGTCCGAATTTCGCTTTTGTCTTCGTTTTCATGACGTCACGGCTGCGCTGCGCTATTAAATTTCCAACGGTATGAAACTGGAAAACTGCTGCAACGGTGATTGGCTTGAATTGTCTTCCAGCATTTAATCCAATCACAACATGTAGTTACGGCTGTGATAAGATAGATAGGCATGTACAGTGCGGCTACGAATTTGCCGTATGGTTTCCCTGTGGTACCAAAACCTCTCTATATGATAGTACGAGTCTCTATATGATACTACTAAGATATATAGGCATGTACAGTGCGGGTTCCCACTGATACCAAAACCTCTCTATATGATACTACGAGTCCTTGTTATCTTTCTTTCACCAGATACCCATCAAAGAGAAACACACCATAGCGACATCCACGAGCCTGAGGAAGGGAATCTACTAACCATCACGGACATGGACCACATGATGGGAAGTACCTCAGAACTTGATGCTATAGTGAAAAGCCCATCCCGATTAACTCTAACAGAAATAGCCAGTACCCATAGTAATGGGCGCACAATCCAGGGTGAAGACAAGACCATAGAAAGGGTGATTAACGAGGAGACTTCAGAAATTGGAAGAGTAAGTATTACCACGACCACAATCATTCCCAATGTAATTACAAAAGACACGGGGGCCATGTTGGATGATATGACAAAAGAGACTAATCACGAAACTTTTGTTAAATTCATCCAACATGGCGGCCGTGAAAACCATTAATAGCCGCCATGTCTTCAGCCACGAACTGCAGAAATTTGTTAACGATTCTAGTCACTAACCTTGTGTTTTATCTTTTGCAGGTCAGGTTTTCCGTGTTCTATACTTACGCAAAAGCAACAGGCCTGATCGTTTCTTTCTTATTCTTCCTTTTCCTCCTGGCCTCCGAAGGCAGCATAGTATCATCCAAAATCTGGCTCGCTCGTTGGAGCTCAGACAACGTCACGACAGACTCTCAAAGAGACAATTATCTATTTGTGTACGGAGCTCTTGGACTTTCACAGGCGTTCTGTATGCTGTTTAGCTCATTGTTTCTGGCTTATGGAGCTAATGTGGCTTCTAATGTACTTCATGATCGTCTAATTGTCAACATCATGCACTCGCCAATGTCATTTTTTGAGAGTACCCCTCTGGGGAGGATTGTCAACAGGTTTTCTAAAGACATGTATGTGATAGATGAGACGGTCCCAAATTCGTTGATGTCATTTTGGAGATGTTTTTTTGCTGTGATGAGCGCCATCTTTGCTATTAGTTATGCTACACCTATCTTCCTTAGTGTCGTCTTTCCATTGATGGTTCTGTATGTCTTCATTCAGGTGAGAAATCGATTAACGTGCATAATATTTTCTTGCAATAAGGAACACAAGAGTGTAATCATTTTGCGCTGGATGACGTAAGTCATGCGCGCATAATTCACTTGGAAGCGTTGCATAAAAGACGAAGTCGTCTCTATAGTTTTTTACAACTCGTAACGCATTTTTTTCGTTGCTCTTCGAGCTGGAAAGAAAAGAAATTATTGCGCAACCTGAGTTGCAAGTTGTTTCATTCTTTTGCAAGTTGTGAGAACAATTTCTTGAGAAACAGTATCCGGTTGCATGTGCTGGTGATAATTGATTTTTTGATGATGATGATAGTGATTGTAATACTCATGTTGGCTTTGGTGTTGCTAGTGATGGCGATGATGATTATTATGATAGAATGTCAAATTAGATCTATATCGTTCTATTTTCCAGCGTCTGTATGTAGCATCCTCGCGTCAGTTGAGACGAATCGAGTCAGTGAGTCGTTCACCAATCTACAGCAACTTCCTGGAAACGATCAATGGTACAAGTACCATCAGAGCTTACTCGCAACAACAATACTTTATTCGTGAAAATTATTACAGAGTAGACGAAAACCAGGTGGCATATTATCCGTGGATTTCTTCTAACAGGTAGAAGGTCTTGGCATTTTAGTGTAAGAAAACCTTGACAATGCGACCGCCTTATTACGAGCCAAACCCTTGTAATACGACTATGTTACTCATAAGCAAACCTTCGTAATACGAGCATCTCACTTGTAAGAAAACCTTTGTAATACGATCGTCTAATACTGAATTAGGCAATCTTTGCAGTATGGCCATCGGCAAATCTTTTTCGGAAACCTATGTATTATGACCACATTGTTTCTAAACACATTGTACTTTGTATTTAGGTGGTTGGCTATTCGACTAGAGCTCATTGGTAATTTTGTCATATTCTTCGCCTCTTTGTTCGTTGTCATCGCCAGAGATTCTATAGAAAGTGGTTTGGTTGGTCTTTCACTTACTCATGCTTTCCAGGTAAGACTTTTTTCTCTACTACTACTCCAGGTCCAACGAATGGTGGGAGGCCTTATTTATGATAGTTTCTTGTGGTATATTCTTTTATACACCATGCAAGGCTTACTGGGTGCAAACCAAAGTATGTAAAAGAACACATCATGTAAATCCAAACTTAATTTCTTGTTGTATATGCTTTATACACCATGCACGGCTTACTCGTGCAAACCATGGTATGTAAGAGAGCACACCATGTTAATCCAAAGTTAGTGGTATGTTATTTTATATACCACGGTTGACTGGAGCAGACTATAGAGTATACTATGTAGATCCATTTTATGTTAGCTTGCTTGGGAGTGATGATGAACCCTTTATCTTTGTGTCTTCAGATAACACAAACCCTTAACTGGATGGTTCGCATGTCTGGTGAGCTAGAGACGAATATCGTAGCGGTAGAACGGGTCAAGGAATATAGTGAAACTCCAAGAGAGGTTGGTATCGCCAGTCCTGCCAGCTATGCTTGACAGGAAAATAGGCCATGTACACTAAACGGTCACGTGACTACCCCTGGGAGAAATGACGTCAAATATAGAATGGAATATTTTATAAGGATTTTGTATGGAACAATTGGCTGGACAGCACGCTCGATCTCCCACTCCTGTCTTATTAATCATATCTTACCTTTAATCACACCTCCATTAATGCTATGCTACAAAATAATCCCCCTCCTCTCCCCCCTAACAGGCAGCGTGGATCGTCGAAGATAATCGTCCTCCTGAAGACTGGCCTGGTTCAGGTCACATCGCTATAGAAACTTTCGACTTGAGATACAGAGAAAACCTCCCGCTCGTCCTCAAGAATATCAACTGTGATATCGCACCAGGAGAGAAGGTACGTAGGTATCGATAAGAGCACTCGCGGGTAAACAGTATTGATTGTAAAGATATCATAGGGTTTGGATGCGTCAATACAGAAGATCCTGCCTCATATTCTAAACTATTTGTACGCGTCCCGTCATCCACATAAACCGTCCTTGTTTTACAAGGGTAGCACTTAGTAACTCTTCTCACATGTTATGGGGAGTCCGCGAATCAAACCCATGACCATCTTGGATAGCAGGGAGAAGCGGCGCATTAGCTGCGCCCACTAACCGCACTTTACGTCACATGAGGACGTGAAGCATTCATCTCTTTTCTTTGTTTGTCATTCTAGATAGGACTTGTTGGTCGCACAGGAGCTGGTAAATCGTCCCTTTCCATGGGACTGTTTCGTATTCTGGAAAGCACTGGTGGTAGAATTATCATAGATGATATTGACATCTCGAAGATAGGGCTACAAGACTTGAGGTCACGCCTTACTATCATTCCACAGGTAACCCATAGATTGCTTTAATAGTTGTATTAAATGAATAGAAGAAAAGAAAGGGATAGGCAAGTAGAGCTAAAAACTCGTCTTTCCTTCTTTTTCTTTCTTCTCCCGTCCCTCTCATTTTCGTTCTTTTCTACGAGCGGCTATTTTACACACGACTCTCCTATCCCAACTTGTTTCGCAACAGCGTTGCGACGCAAATTGCAAGAGTGTTTACACGATGCAACGGAGACACAGTCGTTGCCAAAAGTAGAAGCGAATTCCACTTTTTTAACAGTTGCTACCGACTTGTCTCGCAACATTTTTTCAGATTGTGCTGTAGCCGGGTTACACGCTGCAATGCTCAATGCAGCTTGTGTTGCGAGCCAAGCTGCAGAGAAAATTGCTCCGTGTAATCGCGCCCTTGACTTCAAATAATCCGATTGCAGAGTTCTATAGTTTGCTAACCTTTTATTCTTAGGATCCCGTGTTGTTTTCTGGTACGTTACGGTTCAACCTGGACCCGTTTGATAAATACTCAGACGAAGAGCTGTGGAAAGTCCTTGAAGTCAGCCATCTGAAGCAGTTCGTGTCGGGTCTTGCTGAGGGTCTGCAGCATTCTGTCTCGGAGGGAGGAGAGAACCTCAGGTATGAATGGATGAACGGTAATTTTATTTTAACACCTATGTTAATTATTCTGGGTTTTTTCAGTGTTGGTCAACGTCAGTTGGTGTGTCTTGCTCGTGCTCTACTTAGAAAAAGTAAAGTTCTGGTCCTGGACGAAGCGACGGCAGCTGTGGATCTCGAGACAGACGAACTCATCCAGAAGACCATCAGGACTGAATTTGCTGATCGAACAGTGTTGACTATAGCACATCGACTCAATACTATCATGGATTACTCCAGGTAAGGAGGTGTGCAATATGGTGGCTGTATAGTAGTGTAGTGGTGGGGCGTTGTGGATTACTGAAGGTACGATATTATGACAGTGATGTATAGTGGTGCAGTAAGGTGTGGTGTATTATTGTGATGTAATGTATTGTATTGAGGTGTGGTTTGATTTAGTGTATTCGTGTAGTGTATTGAACATAATGTGATCAGTAGTGTAGCTCGTTGTATCGTGAGGGCCGTAGAGTGGTATGTAATTATATTATGCATTGTGTTGACATGTTTTCTGCTGTGCAGTGCACTGCTGTTGGTTGTTTAATGATGTATCGTGGTGTTGCGGGGTGTTGTGTGGTATGGTATTGTAAGCATGGTGTTGCCTGATGTTGTGTGGTATGCTAATATGCAATAGTGTGGTGTAGTGAGCTGGTACTAGATGTAATAAGATGTGCTATAAGAAAGTGTAGAGTTTCGTTATGCAGAGTCATCATATAATAACATGTTTTATGTCCGTAATCATTACCAGGATCATCGTTCTTGACAAGGGCTTCATGATGGAGTTCGATACACCTCAGAATCTGTTGTCCCAACGTGGTATTTTCTTTGGGATGGCTCAGGATGCTGGTCTTGCTTGAAAAGGAATCAAGCTTAATGGCTTTTCGAATTCATGCATTGATTACTTCCAAGCTAGGGTAACTTCAGTTGCAGAAATTTCAATTTTAGTAACGAGAAGGGTGTGAAAGTATCGTTATTATTAGTATTTTTTTATCATTTTCGTATTACCTAGAAATGTTTTCCATTCATTAAATATTATGCATTTTCGTCACAAATCCTTTCAATTTATTGCCGAAATTCGTTCGCCCTTTGCAGTAATTATAAATAGATTTATATGTTACTCAGTTTTCGGTTTTAATGACTATTTAGTGAGTTTAGTAAGTTTTACGTACCCTCATGGTACGTAGGGTATAAATTATATACATATATTAAAAAAAGACTGGGTCGAGTTTGCATGCAGTGCATTACGGGACTTTGTTAGAGGAGCAGCTTGTTAGAGGACGAATTAGACGCCATCTTGAAATAGTTCCAGAATGCCCCGCAATGCTAACTCAACCCAGTTTTTCCTCGACCTTGGAATGGTTGATAGAACACTCATTCAACATTATTTACTTTGAAAAGAGATATCGTGACAAAAAGGGAGCAAAACTTTGCTCGAGGGAGTAGAAAGCACTCGCCTCAGAACAAAGTAATTTTACTTGGGTATATTTCCTGTGGGAAGTGGCGGCCATGTTGGAGGTTTTTCAACAATGTCATCCAGCATTTTAAGTTTTAGCTCTGTCAACCATAATGTGGTTTATAAAATCTGGTTTGCTTTTAATATGTAATTGATTAAATTATTTATAAGTTCTGGCCTATCTCTGATTCATCAGTTCGTTTTGCTTCTTTGTAGTATCGACAAGACGAAGTTACTGATTGGTTACTTTAGGGAGCCAATGAATAGTCGTAATAATCGCTCCATGTCACGTGGGGAAACGACATTTTATCGATAAAAATGTTAATATCAGAGAATGGAATGGGAACGAGTATAAACTAAGTTGTCACGTGATGGTTACTATGGTAAAGCTGAATCGAAATCATCATTTAAAGTTAAAAAATTCACTAGAAAATTTGTACACCTAAGGATTTTGGCAGCTAATATCGAGCGATTGGTCACGTGACTATACGTTACTAACAGTTGTGGTAGTTGACTTTGATCGAGGGATTTTCAATAATTCAAACCCTGATAAACTACTTCCTTTCCGTAGTCGCCCTCCTACTTGTTTGTCAGTCCTGTTCAAACAAAATTTCAAGGTGGACTTAACTTCTTTGCGATAGTTCTCGTTAAGCATGGTGTAGCACAAGGGGTTGGCAGCGCTGTTGGCGAATGTTAAAATATTACTAAAAGCAACGACTTCCCAGAAGTATTTGAAATACTGATCTGCTTGTCCAAAGTCCAACCACATCCACATGATATTGTTCGGCAACATGCAGGCTGCGAACAGCACCGTTACCACTACGAGCATGCGCACTATCTTCCTGGTCTCTTCCAACTGTTGTCTTCTTAGACATTCGGTCACGAATTCTCTCTTTCGTAGCTCGCCTGCTATGCTTATGTAAGCCGTTGCTATGACAATGAGTGGTAAGACGTACTGTGTGGTGAAAAGAAATGCCGTGTAGATCTTTCGCGTGTGGTGGTTTTCCCATGACTCATCGCAGGAGTTGTCACTGTAGCGTAATATGATAATATAAGGACATACAGGGATTATGGAAAACACCCAAATAAGAACTATAAGAATTTTAGCTTTAGAAATGGTGAGCTGTCTTCGAAGTGGGTGAACGATAGCCCAATATCGCGTCAAACTGACCGCTGTCAAAGTGTATATCGATGCAAAGAGAGCTAGTGTTTGTAAGGGATACAGAATCTTGCACATAAAAGCCCCGTAAGGCCAAACGTAGTCCATCTCCTGAACAGGAATGTCGAATGGAATACAAATACACGTCAAGGCTAAGTCAGCGATGGCCAAATTCAGAATAAAGTAGTTCGTTACTGTTTTCATGTTTTTGCGTCGAAGGATGATCACACAAACCATAGAGTTCCCTAACGCACTTACAAGAAAGATAATCACATACAGAGTGAGTTTTAAGACTCTTGCATGCTTTGCATACTCTTCGAGTACTGTTAGTCCAACACGGGCCTCACTTGAGTTTGTTCGATTACTCGTACTCAAAAACACATCCAAAGGAGGGGCCGTTGTAAGAGCACTTGAATCAACCATCTTGGTTCTCTACCAAAACTACAAGTGCAAAACAATATGGCTATTAGTACAATTTAGTGTTCTTTTTACAGTTGTCAAGTACAGATGTTGATCTTCGCATGTCTTAGGCTGCGTTCATGATGCATGGCAGAGGGAGGGGGGTGGGGGGGGGCAGGTGAAAATTTGAAATGTCCAGAATAATTTTCAACACCCCCCCTAAAGTCATCAGAAAATACGATCCCCCCTAAGCAAGGCTTGTAGTTTCTTCCAAAAATTGTGCATCCCCCTCTTCCATTTTTCTGATAAAAATTTGTCCATCCCCCCTTTTTCCTACCAAACTTTTCCCGATCCCACCTCAATTTCACCTGGCCCCCCCGCCATACATTATGAACGCAGCCTTATAATGAGAAATGACACTCACAGACACAATGTCTCGAACTTTTTCTCTCTTACAGGTGTACTAGACACAAAGCCCCGGATGTATACGTAATTATAACTGATTCCGATCGGTTAAACAAATAACTAACGTGAATAACAATTTTTAGCTTTATAAGCCGTAATACACAGAGAATAAATGGACAGCTTCCAAGTGATGAATCTATTCCTTATGAATAATGATTTTAAAGTTATATCAATTATGACAAAATGTGGGTGAGAATTGAGAAAAAAGTACTAAACACTCATTTTTTATCCTGAATTTCTTATAATAATAGTAGTAGTAATAATAAATCTTTATTTATTCTCACTAAATGCGATAGCACACAAGTGCTAGTTTGAGCGAGCTAAAGAATAAATAGCTATGACAAAAATATTAAAAGAAAAAGATACACAATGATATAAATATATAAGATATATAAATACAAGTAAAATATGAGAATAAATATAATGTCACTGGATACTAGCAAGATCAAGTTTTGAAATTTGCCGGTATCTGAAAGAACTAAGCTTATATTATTAGATGTTCTTATATTATCCATCAGAGAGTTCCATAATTCAGGCTCTAAGTATCTTATTGCCTTAAGTCCATATGTTGTTGTATTAATTTTAGGAGTAGTTAAAATGTGAGACCCCCTAAGATTGTAAGGTGTAACATTCAATGCTTTAAGAACTGAAATTGCAATAGTTATATATATATATATATATATATATATATATATATATATATATGTAATGTTGACTTGTTGGCCTTGGTTAATAGAGAGTGATAATCACTATCCCTATCTTGATAAATACTTCTTAATGCTCTTTCATTTAGTTTTTCTAGTTTTTCGGAGTCACTTTTTAAGCAAACATGCCACACAGTAGCACAATAATTAAGGTGCGATAAATGAATTGTATAACTTGATTTTAGCATCAAGACAAATAAGGCGTTTGCATCTATTAAGACACTAATTTGTCTACTAATTTAGTGAATTGTCAATATCATCGAATTCAGGCGTAAAATGACGTGAATGTCAACTCTTTCAGATAACTTTTGACAAGGTATCCATGAATAGGTAATTCACACAAAGAAGTTTATTCAATCTAAATAAAATGGGGAAACACATATTCAACCGCTTCATCGCGATAAGCGAGATCACGTGAACTCACCAGGAATGTGATCACGTGACCTGTCCAAGTCATCAAGTCAAGATTTATGTTAAGTTAAATTGACTGGCTGAATGGGAAAGCATTACGCCCAAAAAGAAAGATTCAATGTTTCATAACAATTAATGAGATATAATCACGTGATGTCGCTAACAATGCGAGGCACATGGCTATCAAAGCTATCCAGTTCGAGTTCCGTGCTGTTTTATGGCCATACCGTGGGAAACGCCACGATAACGATCTCTAATTAAGCCAGAGTCAGAGTATAGATATATAGTACTTTCAAGATTACGCAAGTATTGGCACAATGTTTCACAATGTGATTGGCCAATCACAAGTGAGATTAGTTACATATTAGATAGCTATCAATCATGTTTCAATAGAGTGAGTCGTTTGGTATCCTACATTTTCAACCGATCAGGAGGATCAACCTCGTTACGTTCTAACGTTCTAGAACACTATTGCCTTTGCTCTAGGAATGTATCGTTTTAGGTAACGACTTTTTTATCGCACATTATCTTAGGATTTAGGCTTTCCTGAGTAGATGTTTAAAGCTAGCTTCACAGCTTCTAAGTACTTGTCAGGTTGCCCCCTATTTTGGTCAAAAAATAAATATTCATAATGTTTACTGGCTCGAATGTTTTAGTGTTGTTGTTTTGTTTTGTTTTGTTTTTGTTTTGCTTTTTGACTTTTTTGTTTGTTTGTTTGTTTGTTTGTTTTTTATTTCTTATTTTATGGCACTGTTTATAAAAATTTTAATTCTTCTTATTTTTCTGCTGGCTTTAGTTTGGCTTTAAAAGGTAAAACAAATGTATTCTCTTAACCCATACTGAACGATATTAAACTATTAAAAAAATTTAAGTTTTTTTTCCGTTTTTAAGTTAAAATGTACTGTAGAAGAAAATTGAAATAATTTACACAAATATCCCAACAGCTAATTTTTAAAACTGTGGGGAAACGTTATACGACAATCGCTTGTTTCTGAGCTGAAAGTCGTAAGACCGACAAGGGTTACACAACTTAAGTTCAACCTAAAGACTTTAATTTTGTCTGGTATGACGTGAAAATTCAACAAAGCTGTAATCGATCCTCAAATCATCTGATGGGCAATGTCTAGGGAAGCCAAAAATAGAAAATTCTATCCTAAACAAACACGGTTTACTTTTATATTTGCTAAAATTATCGTACAAGACCCTTGGGCATTTAATATTTCTTTCTGTGCGTACTCGTTATACTAGCAATGACATCTTAAGAATTTTCACTCTGAGCAAATAATAGATATTTCGCACCAACGAAAAAATTTTGTATGAATAAAGAAGTGTTGAAAGATAATCTTACCTTAATTTTTTTTCTTCACAGCTATGAAAATTTTACTACTGCAGTAGTTTTGGTGATTTTCAGTTTTACGAGAGGTAGTTTTCTGGTTCTTTTCTCAGTTTACATTCTTCTGCAAAAGATAATAGAATTTTTCAGTACAACTGACTACAGAATTAGATTCTTTTGGTTTTTAAGAAATACTCTAACAACCAAAACAGAGTAGTTTTACTACTTCATTCTCTGCTTGCAGCGAATGACGAGGCAAGGAAATCTAGTCAGGTTATTTATACAGGTGTTTTGCTTGTTCCATCTTCCATTAACTAAAGTCATAAATCAAGCGCTTTCCGTACTTTCTGTTTCACTCTCTTATCTTTAACCGTCGTTTTTTCACTCGAAACTAAGAGATATCAAACTTAATGGCTGTAAATCATTTCTCTTTTTAAGCTCTTTTAATTAACGTTGTAGTAACTACTCAAAATGAATGCAAAAATGGTGTAAAGTATCAAAAAGATTAGCGTAAATTTGTACAACTTTGTATTGAGTCGTTTAAGGCCCCGTCCACACGTATCCGGAAATTTTTGTATCCGCAATTTTTTTTTTTTTTTTTTTTTTTTTTTCGGATACGGGTTGCGTCCACACGTGTCCGCAAACTTTTGTGTCCGTATCCGGAAATTTTACGAAAACGGATACGTGTGGACGGCGAAAACGATTCGAATACGCTGCGTGTGGACGCAAACATTTTCGTATCCGTAAAAAATAATTTGCGGATACAAAAATTTCCGGATACGTGTGGACGGGGCCTAAAAAGGACCGACGGGGTAAAACGGAGTAGAATAGTTTAGAGACGCTTAGTGATAATTGAATATTTCGCACGCCTTCAGGCCAACTTTTATGTAACATTATCAAGTTCATACTCCTGGACCCTTGAGCTACAAAAAACAAAAGTATACGTGACTTAAAAACACGCAATGCAGACTTAGTTTTGCTGTTTATTCATTTGTTTCCTTTGTTCTTGTTTGTCTTTGAATACTTTTAACTTATTGGGTTTAATCGTTTGTTCGCTGTTTTTTTTTTTTTTTTTTTTTTTTTTTTTTTTTTTTTTTTTTTTTTTTTTTATTTTCGCGCGTTCGTTCGTTTGTTTGTGATTTGT